CTGTGTTGTTTTCCCTCCCTCCCTGCCATCCCCAAACAGCACCCCATCGTAGAAAGGGGCCAATTCACTAACACACTACTGGCACAAGAGACAACAGAGAGATTCGGGCTTGCAGGGGGTTAAGGGGTAGCTGTAGGTGCCCTTGTGCCTTCAGAAAAATCTCCCTGGGGTCATTCGTATCCATGAGCACTTGAAATGTGATTCACCCAACATCAGTTGAAGGGCTGGAGCTGGGACTCCCCTCACTGGTCAGCTCTGGCTCTCTGCCCTCCTAATCAGGGCAGAAGTGACTTGTTCACACAGCACGGCCCAGGGAACTCCCTCTCCTGCAGCTCAGCTTGTGAGCTAGTCACTAAGTCACTGCTGAGCTCCAGCACCCCGGCTCTGATGGACACTGGACACCTTCAGATGCCTCTCACCTTCAACCACAGCCGTGCCACCCCTTCTCCCGAGCCTCTTCCCAACCTGCCCTGAGAGCTTCCCAGCACGACATCCTCCAGGGACAGAGCAGCCCAGCAAGCCACTGCATTGAAGGGGAAGAGGGGCACGTGAATGAATATGCAGTACCCTCTGCTCTGCTTCCTCTGGGACTCCAAGGAGTGGCTGACATAGCCATCACAGGCGACCTGCTATCAGAGTCTACTCTACCCAATAATGAGATTAAAATAGCAATGAGCCTGAGATTAGCATCCAAGATATAGTCGCTGGCTGTCAGCACGGCAGAGAAGACTCTCCAGTTTCATGCACAATGCCTGGTGACAAATGGGACACAATCAATAGCAAAGGTCATTGCTCACCCGGCCGGAAAGCCCCTGCCAGTGTGACAGGGAAGAATGGGGGCAGATTTGCCCTGATCTTCTCTGGGGGGAGACGTGGATGTGTCCTGACTGGCAGAAGAGTTGGGCTGTGCTTTCAACATTTTTCCTTGCATGACATTCTCACTTTGAACCAAATGTGTAGAATTAATACCTCCTTCTGCAAGGGAGAGGAGATGGGAATACAAAACCACTTCCATTAAACCCTCCAGTTGACGGAAGACTTCAGGTGTGAATTGGATAAGTGTCACTTAAATCCTACGTGATGAATTACCAACTGTAATAAGCCATTAACTGGTGCCAAATTGATTTAATTCAGAAATGAGATCTCACTTTTATCAACAGAGGAAGAGCAGAGAACACCCCGCGGGTGCCCAGGGGCTCGGTGCCTGGCAGCGCACGGCTCTGCAAGTACAATGACTCCGTGGGAAAAGCTTCCTTCGCCCCTCGGCAGCTCTGGCCGGAGCCGGGACATGCCCGTGGCTTGTGCGAGGGGCTCAGCCCCTGCGAGAGGGACGGTGCCTCTGTCCGAGGCGACTTCGCTCCCAGGGAAGGGCAGAGCCATCTCGGGAGGGGGCTTGCAGGACTCCCCGAAGTAGCAGTGACCCTGCGGGGCGCGCGGCGCTGCACCGGGCGCTGAGGGACCCGGGCGGCAGCGGGAGAGCCCGAAGCCCGCTCCCGGCACGATGACAATAGGGCTGGCCGGAGGCACCGCGCCCCGGCACCGGCGCTGTCCGGGATCGGTGCTCGCTCGCACCGCCGGGCGATGCCGCCGCGACCGGGGCACCGCGCGCGTCCCGGCGGCGGCAGCACCGGCGGTCCCCGAAAACCCCGCTCTTTGTCTCCTCCGGGGCGCACGGAAAGTGGGAAAGTGCCCCCGCACTGCTTCGCAGCCCCCGCGAAGGCAGAAGGGAATCGGTTTCGGCGGAGCATCCCCCGCCGGCCCCGGGGCTCGGGGAGCGCGGCGCGGGCAGCGCTGCCTTACCTGTCCGCAGGTCCGGGGCTGGCGGAGCCCGGCAGGCAGGGCAGGGCAGGGCAGGGCAGGGCAGGGCTGTGCGAGCGGCGGAGGGGAGGCAGTTCTGCCGGGGGCAGCGGGTGTTCAAACCCGAGAGCAGGAGGAGCAGGAGCAAGAGGAGGAGGAGACAGGGGGAAGGCAGTGGGGGAATGTGGAGAGGAACCGGGGACGCCGGGAATCCCGGGGGACTGGGGTGCATGGTGCGGGAGGAGGTGGGGCTGGGAGGGGCTCCGGGCGTGCGGGGGGCTGCGGGAGGGTGCAGGGGGGGCTGCAGGGCGCGGGGGTGCCCAGCGCCGAGGAGGAGGAGGTGCGGGAGCGCAGGGTGCTGGTGGCAGCAGCAGTGCCTGCCCCGGGCACGGACGGGGCAGACAAAGGACGGAGACAAAGGCGGAGCAGCCCCGGGGCGGGGGGGGTGTGTGAAGGGGGCGCGGAGCCCGCCCCGCCGCGCAGGTGAGCGGGGTCCGCCCGCCGCGCCCCCGCTCCCCGCAGGGACTCCCCGGCGTTACGGCCGCGGAGCGGGTTAGCGACCCAGCGGGACCGCAGCGTTCCCCTCGCTCCCCGCCCCGGCCCCGCCGTGCCGGGGGAGCCGCGGGGGCGGACTGGGGGTACCGGGACCCGCGGGGGCCTCGGGGGGCAGCGCCGGCCCCGCGCCCACTCCTCCCGCCCACTGGGGGGCGCTCGGCACAGGCGCGTGACGTCACCCGCGCGCGCCGCCACCGCCCCCCCCGCGCTGGGCGGGAGAGAAACGGGCGGAGGGATCGGCACGGACCGGGGGGACCGGCACGGACCGGGGGGACAGCGGGGACAGCGGGGACAGCGGGAACGGTACGGACCGGGGGGACAGCGGGGACAGCGGGAACGGTACGGACCGGGGGGACAGCGGGGACAGCGGGGCCGGTACGGACCGGGGGGACAGCGGGGACAGCGGGAACGGTACGGACCGGGGGGACAGCGGGGACAGGGGAACAGTACGGACCGGGGGGACAGCAGGGACAGGGGGAACGGCACGGACCGGGGGGACAGCGGGGACAGCGGGAACAGCGGGAACGGTACGGACCGGGGGGGGACAGCGGGGCCATTACAGAGCGGGGGGCACAGGGGGGACAGCGGGAACGGGGAGGAAACAGCGGGGCTGGTATGGACCGGGGAGACCAGGGGGGAATGGGGGTGACAGCTGGGACAGGGACAGCAGGGGCAGGGGGGAGACAGCGGGGTGGGGTGGGGGGACACTGGGGATAGGGACACTGGGCGTGGGGACAGCGGGACTGGGGGGGACACCGGGTCGGGGGGATCGTGCCGATGCGGGAGCCCCGTCCGGGGCCCGGGAATGCCGGGGAAAGGCGGTGCTGTGCGCGGAGCGGGGCCGGGGCGCCCCGGGGGTCCAGCCCCCCTGCCCGGGGTCACGGGCACCCGAGCGGGCCGGGCAGCTCCGTCCTGCCCTGGGAGCCGAGCCGCGGGCAGGGCACGGCTGGGGCCAGGGCCAGCTGTCCTGGGGGCCCGGGGTACAGACACGGGGAGGTTGGACGTGATGAATTAGAGTTACGTGATATCCCCCATCCCTGCAAGTGTCCAAGGAGGTGGGACAGGGCTTGGAGCAACCTCTCTAGTGGAAGGTGTCCCTGCCCGCGGTAGGGAGTGGAACGAGATGAGCCTAAAGGTCCCTTCCAACCCAGACTATTCTGTGATTCCACGATCTCCCTGCCTGCACAGTTGCTGAGTGTGTGGTGCCCAGTTCCAACCTTGTGACTGTACGGAAGGGTGGATCTCTTGGGATGCTCTTCCCTCACTGGGGCCTCTCTTTAAGGAGGGATGATGTTTAGGTGAGGACGTGAACCTAAACTTCTGAAAACACAAATTGTTTATGCTACTCTGATACAGATCTTTTGTACAAATGTGATAGTCACTGTGGCTGGAGGGCTAGAGAGATACTTAGATATCTTAATTTTATTTAGTGTAGCAGATCACTGATATTCCAGGAAGTCTTTGTATACAGTCATAGGATTCTGATTTAAAAAAAGGGAAATGAGGATAGCTCCCTATTTTGTGAAGTTAAACTAATTCTTTGTAAGTCTGAAAAAATGTGGTTTGTTGCAGCTGAAACAGCTTGAACATCGGTGTCTAAAGAGCTGATTGGAATGGTTTTGGTTCAGCAGAGGTCTGTGTAGGACACTGGAGGAGCCAGGGTGCTCCAGAGGCATTTAAAGACATACACAGCTCATCAACAGTGGTGCTGCTATTGGTGGTTAGTTTTCGTGTGGATAAAATAGTGAAACAAATCAAAATGTCTAGTAGGTAATTATGTACCCTGTGGCTTAAATTGTGTAAGGCACAGATTCCACCCTGTAGGGAAAGCTGTTGGAAAGCTGAGCCCCAGTGTGTGCTGTTTGACTGTTGGCAATGATACTCAATTTGGCACAATAATGTGCTGGCCTTTATAAGTGTCACAAATTTCAGGCTCCCAGGAAAGTGGTCATGGCACCAAACCTGTCAGAGTTCAAGGGGCATCTGGATGATGCCCTGAGTCACATGGTTTAGTTTTGGGTAGTCCTGAGAGGAGCAGAGAGTTGAACTCCATGATCCTTATGGGTCTCTTCCAACTTGAGATATTCCATAATCCTGTGTGACAGAGCCCATGCTGACTTAATTTGGGTTTGGATTCCTTGGGACTGGAGAGACAGACTCTGAAGCTGTTGCAATGGCAGCAGATGAGAACCTGTGTGGTGATGTGTCAGTGGAAGATGCAGCTCCAAGCCTGGACGAGCGTTGGTTCATGATGGTGGTGTGGGAATAAACCCATAAAACTGAGAATTTTTTGTGTTAGAGTAGGAAATGGGGGCTAGAAAAGGAAAGGAATATGAAGCTTTAAAAAAACAGTGTTTCTTGTGCTACTAAAAAGTAGTGGTCTGAACTTACCTGTGTCCCAAAAAGGGAGAGAGAGAGTGGAAAAAAAGCAGGAATTAAATTCTGGGTGATCTCTCAGTTGGAGGTGTGAGCCAGAACACTGTGGTTTGTGCACTGCTGGTGATCCCTGAGGGCTGTGGTTGCAGAGGGTGCTCACACCTCTGTCTGCAGGCCAGCAGGGGCATGGGAGAGGTGGATGGTTCCGTGGGCTGACTGTGTTCATAATACAGCAGCCAAAGGATAAGCATTCCTTTTGTTGTTACTTCCAGGGCCTGGGGAAGATGACAACCCTCACACGGCAGGACCTGAACTTTGGGCAAGGTAACGTGTTGTGCTGAGCTGCAGCTGATGCCCCTGTGAGCCTTCTCCTTGGCACTAAATGTTGTTGGAGGGTTGGTCTGTCCCTAAACTTCCTGCAGCTAAGGGGATGCAGGTGAAATTTATGTACAAAAAAATTATACCTTTAAAAAAAATTCCTCTGAGTCTATGGTATTGCTCTGCTTCCCCCCCCTTCCCCCTCCCCTCTTCAGCATTCTTTACTTCTGTTTTCCAGTTGTTGCAGATGTTCTTTCAGAATTCCTGGAAGTGGCTGTTCACCTCATCTTGTACGTCAGAGAAGTTTACCCCATTGGGATCTTTCAGAAGAGGAAAAAATACAATGTACCTGTCCAGGTAGGAGATTTTCCCAGAAGCTGACAGCCACATGGACAAGCAAAATAGCAAGGATCAGTCAACAGTCACTAGAACAAAAACTTATACTCTGGAAGTGATTGTTTTAATGTGCAAACTCATTTTTGAAGGGAAATTAGTTCCTGTCATAAGGGAGAGCAGCCCTGTAGCTGAGGATACAGCAGTGCTCATGGAACAAGCAGGTCATGGACAGCAGTAGTAGAAGGCTTCCCCAGCTCTGTGCAGTGAGGTAACAGGAAAGCATGTTTCCTAGGAAATAGGGATGGTTGGAATATGCTGTTCCCCATATGCTGTTGTGGCTGTATATTCCTGATAGACAACACCTGTGTGGGTGCAGTGATCTGCCTCAGCTGATTAACCCTTCCCTGAAAGAATTGCTGGTTTGAATGGGCAACTCAGCATTTTTCACCAGTATTTGAAGCATGACTGGAGTGCCTTGTACACACTGGTGCTTCTGTTTAAATCTCCCCTTTTAGCATTGCCCTGCTTCACATCAAACACAGCTCTGACTGTTCCCTGTGTTTGCTACAGATGTCCTGCCACCCAGAGCTGAACCAGTACATCCAGGACACGCTGCACTGTGTGAAGCCACTGCTGGAGAAGGTGAGAGCAAGTCAGGTACCAAAGTACTGCAAGTGGCTCTGACAGAAAGTAAGAGAACATAAATACTCTCTTAATTGCAACCTTTATTTACTAATTTACCATATGCACTATATTAGCTGATAAAGTTCCTGACAAAACTAAACCCAACACCCGTAACCTTTTCTGGCAGCTGAGGCTTTGCTGCATCTCCTACTTGCACCCGAGGACATATGTGTGTGTATTTCCAGTTACATCATCCTGCACTCTAACATTCTGCTTTTGAATCCATCCCAGTTTAAGCACCTGTCCTGGCAGAACAGTTTGGTTGCTTTTGTAAGAGAAAGGAAGTGAAACATTCCAGGAGGCTGCTGGCAGGTTTTGTATTCCTTGCTCTTCACAGACAATCTTAATGCATATTCAGAAAACAGAATTAGATCAGCTGTACACTGTGGTTGTACAAAGCTGCTCTGTTTGGCCAATGGTCTGAGTGTTTCTTACCTCCCTCAGTGTCCATCCCTGAGGGATGCAGTGAGATGGCTGCATCTCCTCCTTTGTCCCAAAACAGGATCTAGAGAAACACACAATTTAGCACACCCATCTGTCTCAGCCTTAGCCACAAGCTGTCAGTTTAAAATCCAGCAAGAAATGGCTTTACAAAAGCAATTTTTCTGATTGCTAAGGATAATCTGAGCTCAAGCTTTGGATAACTGCTTGTGCTGTGAGCCCCAACAAATATAATGGGAGTGCACTCCCACTATATCAGAGCACACTGGGGGCAGTACACAGCTTGTTTTAAGGAAGGGATTTTTCTAATCTTTGTTCTTGCAGAACGATGTGGAGAAAGTCGTGGTTGTAATCCTGGATAAAGAGCACCACCCGGTGGAGAGATTTGTCTTTGAGATCACCCAGCCGCCTCTGCTTTCCATTAGGTGAGGTTTCCACTCCTGCTTGCCCATGGCATCCAACATCTGCCTCCGAGGGCTGTTCTGGGAGCAGCTCCAGGCCTTTGCTGCGTGCCAGTAACAACTGCTGTGTCCTCCACAGTTCTGAGTCCCTGCTGTCCCACGTGGAGCAGTTACTCCGTGCCTTCATCCTGAAAATCAGCGTGTGCGACGCTGTGCTGGACAACAACCCCCCAGGTAAACGTCCCTCGGATCCAAACAGCCTCATGCCTGGCATTGCTTGGCTTGGCCCATCCTCTGGGAGCTGTCCCCCGAGCTGGAACCTGCCATTTCTCTCTCAGGTTGCACCTTCACAGTTCTGGTTCACACACGGGAGGCTGCCACACGGAACATGGAAAAGATCCAGGTGATAAAGGTGAGTGACACCTGACTGTGTGTGGGAAGCTGCAGAGCAAAGACTGGGCAGAGCAGAGTTTTGTTCTCTCTGAGGTTAAGGCTGACAGATGTTTTGAACATGCACTTAGTGTCATGTGAGGCACTTCAGAGCTGTTCTTGAAGTGGGTTAAAATGGTTTGTGCTGGTGAGGTGGGAGCACATCCACCACACAGCCACAGCTGCAGACAACGGCTGCTTCAGACCCTGAAACAGATTGTAACAGCACTCACTGCCCAGTGCCTGATCAGTCACTTAGAAGTGCTCAGGCATGTAGAACAGGTATTTGAATTTAATCAATAAAAAGCAGCTCTCATCCCCTGATGATCCTCCTGATTCTGCATAAGGAGCAAGGCAGACTAAGATTCAAGTAACTAGTAGGTTTGGGGGCACAAATAAATATCAAAGTGTGTATAGATCACTTTCTAAACCAAGATTTATTTTTTTTTTTTTTTAAGAATCCTTGCACAGATACAGGGAACTTTTTTTCCTGAGCCAAGTTATATTATGTGTCCTAAGGCACAATAAATAAAGCTAACGAAGTATAAAATTATTTCAATGGCTCTGTACTGCTTAGTAATGGAAACTGGGAGTGTAGTAGGCCAAGCTTTAAACTTCCAAGGCAGGATGGAAATCCATGCCCCAGGCATTCAGGAGTTGCAGTTAAACGCTGGTATAAGGGACAGAAGAACATGGTAGCTCGTGACAGCTGAGAGTATCTTTTAAAGAAGTGAGGTGTCCCCTTTGCAGTAAGCAGAGGGTTGACATCATAGTTTGGTGCTGTAACTGAAGACAGTTATGCTGAGTCTTAGGGCCAACTGTGCAAGTGTTAAGTTTTGCTGTTGTGGAAGGTTTGAGTTACCAGTTCCTTCCTCAGCCATTCACTCTCCCATTCACTTAACACTGAGGAAGAGCTCACCTTGCAGCACTGCCAGGCTCTGCCAGTAACACACCTTGTGTTCCTGCCCCCAGGACTTCCCGTGGATCCTCGCAGACGAGCAGGACGTGCACATGCACGACCCCCGGCTTATCCCCCTGAAAACCATGACATCTGACATCTTAAAGGTGAGCAGATCTGACCAAGAGGTGGCTGAACCTGCTGTAGTTCTGAGCTTTGTCTGCTCTCACACCAGCTCTGCAGTTTGCTGTGGGGTGACAACTTTAATACTGCTGAGCAGCAGCTTAGCCTTGCAGGTGTCTGTGCCAGTAATCAAAGCAGGGCAAGACTCCTCATAATAAAATAACCCCCTGGTTATGGGGGAAGGTACAAACCTTTCCTATTCAGCCTGTTGTAGGCTTTCCCCCTTTCACCTACCTGTACACCAAACAGGACTGATGCTGGTTTCTCTCCTCCAGATGCAGCTCTATGTAGAGGAGCGAGCCCACAAAGGCACCTGATTTCAACTTTTCCTTGCCTTCGAGCCTCATGTGATCTTCCAGTGGAGTAAGATCTGTCACAAACCATACCTTGAGAACCATCTCTTCAGCCAGCCTTCTGGTGAATGTAGAGCAGCTGCTGCCTCTTTATTTCAAGTGCTCTTACCACTGTATATAGAACTGACTTGGAATGTGGAGCCAGAGCCTGTTCCCATGTTGACTTGTGTGAGAGTGAGTACAGGTGTTGTTACAGTGCATCCCTGGGGAGTCAGTGCTTTGTACCAATCCAGTTCTCACCTGATGGGGCAGCTGCCTTGCACAGGGGCAGGGATGGACAGCAAGGAGCTGTTCCACGAGAGTAATGGACTCGTGCTAAGGGGGAGTGAGGCCTTATGTAGTGTCTGTCCACTGTGACTGTCCCAAGTAGTCTTCAATAAATATGAAGTTTTACCCCAGTTGAACTGGGCTGAGTCCTGTTCAAACCAGCCCCCCTTCTTAAATGAGGAAGTACTTTTTCTGTGGAGCTTTCACCACTTTTCTGGCACATATGTGGACTCTGTCAGTTCCTAGGAAAGGCTGTACCCTGGTCTCTCCCCTTTCCATGGGAGACCTCTCACCCACAGGTGGCATTAGCAAGGTGGAGTTTGGTGCAAGAGCCTGCAGGTAACAAGAACACTGCAGACTGAGGCTGGGCGTTGCTTTAACATTTTATATTGGGTTACACAGTTCAATACAAAACAAGCTCTGCTGCGAACAAGAAAAACAAGCTGCTTGTGTTGGCAGGACAAAGGACACTCACCCAGGGAGTACAGACAAAAAGTGCACCTGAGGCCACCTGGTTACAGTCCTGAGGTAAAGCAAACCATTTTATTGTGCTTTCATAACGATGTGTGGGGCCCAATGGTGATGCTGCTGTTTGTCACACGGACCCCATACCATCCTGCCCAGAACTGGGTGTCCTGCCCTCCGTGCTGGAAAAAGATGTGGCGAACTCCTGCTGGGTAATTCCGGAATGTGTGGGAAATCTGAAGAGAAATAAGAGAGTTCCTCTTAATTTGCCTAACGAGACCAGCAGTCACCTGAACCTCAGACAACTACAGTCTGTGAGTCATTGAGCTTTTCCTGAGACCAAGATACCTTTCACTGAAAGTGCACCATACCCCTTTTTTGGGGGATGGGGCAGAAAAAGCCTCTCACTCAGCCTTCTGCCCTGAAATGTTCTCTGAGTCAAACTAACATTAAGCTCAATTCTTAGGTGCATTTGTCACATAAGTAACATCTAATGTGAATGTTACTGATGTGGTTGTTACAGAAAATCAAACCAGTTAAACACCTTTAACAGTTTAAGAAAAGTTAAGTCTGCAATACTTGGCCATCCTTGCACAGTAGTTTTGAAACAAAGGGGTTTGATCCAATAAAACAGCAATTTGCTCTTGTGACTTAGTTATTTAGACAAAAACTAGGTAAAACCCAGAAACAATTAAAAAGACTGAATACACAGAAGCCCAGGGGATATTATCTAGAAAATCCTGGGCACCTAAAAAGGAACTTGACTTGATCAGGGCACTGCTTCTTTGGCATCATCAACAGCAAGGACTGACTCACCTGCTGTATAGAGGAGGCTGGAGAGCAGAGAAAGGTCCACTGGGACTTTTGGCCAAGTAATACTGGCAAGACTCAAGTGCCACAAAACTGATAAAAAGCTCCTGCCCCCGGGGTTGCTGCTCACCTCTCTCCACTTGGCATCACTCCACTGCTCGATGATCACGCGCTCGGGCTCGAACTCGTCCAGGACGATGTAATCAGCCGAGAGCAGCCGCACCCGGAGCTCGTACTGGCACCCACAGTCGAACCTGGCAGCATACCTGGGGAGGCAGAGGAACCCAGGGCTGTATGTACAGCCTTCACTTCCCCCTGGGGTTCAGAAACAGTCTCCAAGAAGATCCCTGTCTGTACACGGAAATGACCGTCATCCCCATAGCTGTGGAGAAGTTCTATAACTTCCCAGGATTGCCACCTCCTTGCACCCCTTTAATAAGCTTAGATGTAGCTTATGCTTTACTTGAGAGCTACAACTCCCAAAGGATAAAGAACTGATTTTATAGCATGAAAAGCTCCACAGGCCTAGCTTAATTCTAGGCCAATACCAGAAATTCTAGTTTTCAGTGCATCCTCTTACCAGTCCTTGACTACAATTTCAGGCCGTATCTCATCCATCAGCTGATCTTGGTATCCTTCATTCTTCAGAGTAATGAGCTGAGACTTGAGGCATAACCTGAAACAGCCATAGAAATACAGTTCCTCAAAACATCTCTTCCCTCTCACTGTCCATGTCCTTTCCCTGACAGATTTACTGCCTGCCCAGGCATTGAAGGCTCACAAACCTGACCTGGCTAAGGCCTGCCTTTTCCATAGCCAGAACTGGATAAGGAAATGAACTGAATTAGCTTCACCCCAGATAAAAAGAATAGTTACCTACAAGCTGGATTAAGAGAGGTCCCTGCACTTGTGTACTGGAACAGGAAACCACTGCCTAGTGCATGTAAAAGCAGCTAATCCTCCTCTGCTGACACTGTTTGCATGACACACCTACCACTCCTGGAGGTTCCAGAGCCCTGTCAGGTAAGTGCAGCTGATTATGTTTGCCAGAGCCTTCACCTTTGCCCATCAACTCTGGCAGAGGAGAGTTATTGTAACTATAAAATCCACGTGGATGATTTTAACTATAAAAATCACAGGAGGTTCCTGGTAGAGACAGAGAAACTTGGCATATACTGTGACCAATTCTCTCAGCAGTACCCTGTCTCTTTAGACTAATTGGCATAAAGGTTTAATTAAGCTCCTTCCTTTTCCCACAGCTGGGCTAAGGTTCAGTGACCTGCCTCAAGCCTTCTAAGCATGGTGCCTGTGCAGACACACAGGGGAAAGGAGGTTTCCCAGCTCCAGATTACTGCAATCCAGTTCTTACCCAAATGAAGTGACAAAGTATTTGTGTACTGTGGGGTCTGGCATCAAATTTCCATGATCTCCAGGCAGATCCTCAATTTGCCATTGATTTCCACCGTTGTGGTCAATTGTCCAGCGCTGGAATTTCTCTACAAACACAGGTGTCCAAGATGAGGGTTAGGACCTCACTTCAGCTACCAGCAGGAGCTCTGCTTTCATTAAAGAGTCAGCTACAGGAGAATTTTATTAAGCTACATGGAGTTTTCAGATCCACTGTATTTTTCCTACAACCTGGAAGTGACCCCTGTCATTAGGTTGCTTTTCATGGGGCTGTCAGCAGCTGGCACAGTAGGTACCTGTGCCACATCACAAACCATCTGACCACATCACAAACTCATCGTCAGCAATAAAGTAGAATTACTGTAGTCCTATTAGTCAAGTCTCTGATAACACAAAGTTCTCCAGCTGCCCAAACGTTTACTGCCAATACCTGATGGTTTCATTACCACCTTGTACTTGCTGTGCAAATTAATTGTCACCGTCTGCAGTGCTGGGGCCTTGTGACTCCAGATTTTTCTGGTTGCAACCACAAAGCACTGGTAAATACACACCCGTCTACCTACAGCAGTTCTACTGCTGGTGTTGAGCTGGATCTGACCCAGCACAGCTCCACCAGCAGCTGGACAGTCCTGCAGCACGAGCAGTTGAGTCATGCAGGATACACTGACTCACTCTGACTTCTCGGAAACTCTTAACTGCTAAAATAACGAAACCAACCTTCAGCGCAGGGGTTTTTGATTAAGTTTCTCTTCAAGTGGCAGAGCATATAGAAGACCCTCCAGTCAGAGATGTTCCTGTCCAGGCTCTGCTGATAAAACCCGTCGCGCTGGCACTTTCTCTTCCAGAGGGTGTTGAGGTCCACCACGTACCGCCACTGCGCGCACACCAGGCGGCAGCTGCGGAGCAGGTCCCGGGCGGGCAGCAGCGACAGCAGCTGCACCAGCACGTCCTCGGGGAGGTCGCCGATGGTTGTCATGGCTGAGGGCGGGGGGGAACCGCAGCCCCGGGGCACACACAGGCTCTGCCGAAGGCAGGGGCAGAGCCACGGGCAGCCCGGCGGGCCGGGGCCGAGCAGCTCCGGGTCAGGGCCCCGGCCCCGCTCCGGTACCGACCTGCGCCCTCCGGCCCCGGATGTGCGGGCGCGGCCCTTCCGCGGGGCGGGGGAGGGAGGAGCGCGGGCGGGGCCGCCGGGCTTTATCAGAGCGGCCCGGACCGCCCTCCCCGAACCGCAGCCTTGTGTCGGGACAGCCCAGCCCGGCCCCAAGCCCGGCCCCAAGCCCGGCCCCGGCGCTCCTGCCCAGGTAAGAGCGCTCGGTGTCCCCCCGAGCCCCTGCGGGTGTCCCGGGCTGTCTCCGGGGACAGACGGGGACACGGCACGGGGTGGGCTCTGCCCGCGATGCCGGGACGCGGACCGGTCCCGGAGGGGGATGCGGGCCGGTCCCGGAGGGGAATAGGATCGGTCCTGGGGGAGGATGCTGTGAACTGCGGTGGGAAAGGGAAGGTACCTCCGTCCCTCTCCCGAGCGCGGGGGATCCTCGCTAACGAGGAGAGCGGCGGTGCTCCATCAGCAGGCGGGGCCTCTGAAATTCCTGTAAGACATCAAACCAGCAAGACTGCTCATGTTTCTGTTTTTTTTTTTTGTTTGTTTGTTTTTTTTTAAATTACATTTTAGCCTTCAGGACTGTGGTGGAGGGTTGGAAGCAGGGAGAGTGGGAAATCATTGATGCCATCCCCAGAAAAGCCAGGGAATTTTAAATGTCCGTGCTGGCTGCAGTGCAGATAGAGAACACACGATGCTCTGCACCTGAACATCTAGATTTAGGATGCTGTTACAGCAGTGACTCTATTTCTTCCCTCCCTTGCCAGGTTTGGCACTGCTGTATTTCTTCAAGTCACATGTCAGGATATTTGCCCTCTGTTCCTGGTGCTCTCCCAGGCTTAATGACTTATTCCCAAGGAGTTTGGCTGCATCCATGCAGTTCACTGCAGTCTTAGCAGCTTCCCAGCCCCAGGACTCAGCTGACACAGCAGCAGTGTCACAGTGCATCCGTCACTGGTGACAGGGGCTCTGAAACTGCACAATCATCTTTCCTTAGTCCTGCAGCACCTGGGCCTCAGGGCAGCAGAGAGCTGTTTGGAGGCCAGAATTAGCACACCCTTCTGACTTAATGGCTCAGGTTACGAGGCCATAGAAAATGGAATATTAGAAAATATCAACTGAGTTATTTTCAGCTATGCTCAGACCTGTACTTTATACGAGCTCGTGACTAAGGGGATTAAGTGCCAGCCCCCTGAGGGAAAGCCTATCAGACATAGAATGAACCACTGCAAGGGTGGCTGGCAAGATGCTCACCGCTGATATTTGGGTACTGCTCTGCAGCATTTGTTATCAGGGATGTTCCTAAAGGCAGAACAAACACCCCCTCTGCCTCCCTCTGCAGAGGAAATAATTACTAAGAAGCTGATTTTTGCAGCAGCAGACATTCTGGAAGGACTGATGCCAGTCTGGGAAACAAGCTGCCCACAGCTGCAGATGTCAAGTACTTCCATTTTGTGGGGGGATTTAACTCAGGGCTTTCACTTATGACATAAAATATTCATCTGCTTCAGCAAATTAATGGGTGTCAGGAGGCCCTGAGGTCAGGGAGAAATCTATGGCCCCAAAATCAAGCCTTCAAATAACACACTTACTTTCCCTTTTTTCCTACTGCCTCAGTGTCTGACGCTGCTGAGCCCAGGGATGGAGTCCCTCCCTGAAGCAGTCCTGATCCGAATCCTGGCTGCCATACCTGCAGTGGATCTGGTGCTGGTGTGTCGCCTGGTCTGCTGCCAGTGGAAGAACCTGGTCGATGGAGCTGCACTGTGGATCCTGAAGTGCCAGCAGGAAGGGCTCACTGGGGCAGAGTCAGAGGAGGATGCAGAGAACTGGCAAAACTTCTACTTCCTGAGTAAGAAAAGGAAGAACCTCATCAAGAACCCATGTGGTGAAGGTGAGAGACAAGCACAACCTGCCCCGAGATTTCAGAGAGATAACCAGTCACAGAGAATTGGGCATTTCCACTCTTTGAAAGCAGATCTTAGCTGCTGTCAGGTTGCAGAATTTTCTCCTTGCCCAAGAGTCAAATCACTCATTGCACGCAGCCAAATCATTTAATGGGCACGAAGGCCTTTGATAATCAGTCTTTGCAAAGGGCTTTACTTCACATTAGGTTTATATAACCTCTGCAGGGATCCAAATCAAGTTTGAGAGACAAAAATGTCCTTTGCAGAACCCGTCCAGTGCCGTAATGGTCGTGGCATCTGTTTCTGTATTGCTTCTTGCCAAACCATGACAGGAGAGAGGACGCCTTTCCCTGCTCAGGGGCCTGTCTGCCCTCAGCTCACCAGCCCTTCAGGCTTCTTTCCTTGGAGCAGCTCAGGCAAATCATGTTTTTCCCCTCCCCTCCCAGCCCACGTACCCCACGTGCCATTATTCTGGATCCATGAGCTTCACTTCCCAGGGCTGCAGTAGCAATAAGCAGCAGTAAACAAGCCTCACAACCCAAGCAGCAACAATTTCACACATCACAGACCAAAGCAATATCAACACAGCTTCTCCATTTGACTCTGCAAGCTTTTCCAACATCCAGGCTCCCTCTGGCTAAGACCAGAAAAGCCCTATGTTTAAGGCCTTACTGCTTCTGAAAATACCACTTAGAGATTTAGAAAACAGAAATAAAGCAATCAGCATCTCTCCCCAGGCTGTTTCTGTCTTGTGACCACTGGAAGTGCTGATACACTGTTCAGAATACCTAAATCCTTTCCCTGGAGTACTTCCTTAGACAAACCTACAACTACACAGCCATTTTGCTGGGGAATGTTAAAGTTTAGTAGTACTAAGTTCAGCCAGACTAAAGGTTTTTGCCTGACCTCTACTTAACATATCCGTAGTCTACATACAAAATTAGTGCTGTGTCTAACACTGAACCTTCACAAGCCAAAAGAAGGTTCCAGTGGGAGATGGTCAGGTTCCCCAGGCCCACAGAAACTAAGACTCATCCAAGCCTCTTCTCTGCCATTTGCAGAAGACTTGGAGCACTGGGGAGAGGTAGAGAATGGAGGTGATGGCTGGAAAATTGAAGAGCTCCCAGGGGACTTTGGAAAAGAATTCCCTAGTGAAGAAGTCCATAAATACTTTGTTACATCTTATGAGTAAGGCTGCTTTCTTCTCTTATTTAGGGAAGGGAAAATTTTTGGTTCCCCCAGTCCCAGGAGAGACTGTGATACCAATAACATCTTGTCTTTCAGATGGTGTCGAAAGGCTCAGGTCATTGACCTTAGGGCTGAGGGCTACTGGGAAGAGCTGATGGACACAACCCAGCCTAAAATTGTGGTAAGAGACTGGTAAGTAGCAAGGATGCCTCAGAAGGCAGGCAGAGAGCCAAGAAAGAAAAGGAAGGGCAGGGAAGGCACGTACCTCACATATACTGGGCCTTAAAACCTCAGCTGCCAGGATGCCCTGGAAGTGGAACAGGGCTCACAGGCAGCTCCCACAAGCTTCAAAGTGTTGGTGCACGTGAACTGCAAAGTGTTGTGAATGAGGGGAGGTGGTGGGCTGGGGCAAGAACCATTTCCACCTCAAAGCAAGGCCCTTGGTGGGAGTGGAGAGGCCGTGTTCTGGCTCTCTGCAGAGCTGCCAGGTGGTGCCAGCAGCGGGCTGTCCCTGCAGGTACGCGGGGCGCCGCGACGCCGGCTGCCTCTACGAGCTCTGCGTGAAGCTGCTCTCGGAGAACGAGGATGTGCTGGCTGAGTACAAAAGTGAGACTGTTACCATCCCACAGGACAACGATGGCAACTGGACTGAGGTGAGTTGCAGCCTCAGCAGGTGACACCCAACCTGCATGAATCGGGAATATTTTGAAGCAGAGGGAAGCAGGAAAGTTCTCCTGGAGGAGGAGAAGGCTCTGTCACGTGTTCTCTGGAGCCATGACCCTGTGATTAAACAAAGGGATTATACTGGGAGGCTACCTTGCAGGAAACTTGGAAACTTGCTGAGTTACCACTGCAGGTGTAAAGTGAAGGAGATGTCCAAGTGGGAGAGGTTCTGAAAAAAATAATGGGATCAAAGCTCCTTCCACTGTAAATGTCCCCGTTGTTACCCAGCCTGGCAGGTGTGACTGGGGCTGTGGGGCTGAAGGCTCTGTGCACTGTAGGTTCACGGTGGTTTGATGCTTACCAACAACCCTTTTGTCTCTTGTCCCAAAGATCTCCCACACCTTTTCCAAGTACGGGCCCGGGGTGCGCTTCGTGCGCTTTGAGCACGGCGGCCAGGACACGCTGTTCTGGAAGGGCTGGTACGGCGCCCGTGTCACCAACAGCAGCGTGACAGTGGAGCCGTAGCCACGCTCAGCTGGGGCCTGCATGCTGGAGCTGACTTCCCTCAGGGCATCCCACGGCCTTTGGATGGTCTCTGCATGGTGCTGCTTCTGGCTGTAGAGCATTGGGCCCTTCTGCGTAGGAACGCGCCTGCAAGACGCCGGGAGCCAGCGCCCAGCCTTCCTCAGGGGGACTGTGCAAAGAGTGGGGATGGATCTGAGGTTGCACCACAAGGCTCAGCCTCACCACTTGCACTGATGTTCTCCATCAGACGGGAGATGACCTAAAAGTCCCGCAGACCTTCTCTCCTGAGCCATTAACCCCAAGCCAGACACCCCTCCTGCCTGCTCCCAGACTTGGGCACTCCTTAACTTAGAGGGGCACTTAAGGCATATTTTCTGGAAGGTGAAGAGTGGAAGAAAGTAGGAAAGAAAAACATAGACCTTGTGCCTGAGAATGTACCAGGGAAACCCAGAGCCCTGTCACAGCTCTGTCACCAACTGCTTCCATGGCCTGCAGTGAGAACCTTGGCTTCTCCCATTTACAAACAATAGATGTCATTGCTTACCACAGAGGGGCTCTAGCTTGGCTGCCAAGTGCTATTAGTTTAATTTTTAGTGATAATGCAAAACAAGAGGGATTGGATCCTTTTCCCTTAAACTGTTCCCAGTATCCATTTATCGAGGCAAGTGTTGGGAACAGAAACCTGTCTGGTGTCCAACCCTGGGGCTTCATTTGGCTCCCTCAGACAGATGACAACTGACAGTAATTTCTGGGAGAGAGAGAGATATGACAACAACTTAGGGAAATAGGTTAGGAAAAATTGGGGGTGGGGTCCAGGAACAAATGAAAACAAACTAACGTGCCCCTCCCTGGCCTCTGCATGCTTTGTGCAAGTGTTTGGTCACCCAGTCTGACCCTGCAGACCCTGCACACACAAAGCTGTTTTGCCTCACTCCATCTCTCCAAGAAGTACCTGTCTGCCTCCTCCATGTGTTCACTGACAAGACAGCACTTCACTCTCCCACTTGTGCCTCTTGATATCACTCAGGGCTGTGAATCCCCATTCTGAACAGACCCCTAAGCTCTCCTGAGCCAAGCCTGTCCCTGTAGTTATTCCCCTCAGAAGAGCATCCCCTAACAGAGCTGCTGTTGCCTAGAGAAGGCACTTGTATTTTTGTGTCTCTGTCTGTCTTCCCTCCCGGGGCTGCCACTTTGCATCCAAGTGCCCCTTTACCTGAGCAGTGACTGCTCCTGCCTGCAGCCAAAGGAGAGCTTCCCCCTGGGCACTGTGCACGCTGCTTCCCTGGGCTCCTGCAGGGCTGCCCCTGGGTGCCCCGGGCACACAGGGCTCCCAAACCACGGCCACGCTGTGCCAGAGCCCAGGCAAACCTAATAAAGTGACACAGCTGTGTGTGGATCTTCCCTTGTGTGCTGGGTGTCTGTGTCCTGTGTTCAAGCACATGTTCTCTGTTTAGTTATGTGGAGCCACATCAGCCAGTCCTACCCAAAACCAGGAGTCACTGTACCTTGTGTCCCTGGAAGAGGAACTGCTCTGTTCCTCTGGACCCATTAGAAATGCTCCATGTGCAGCAGGTCTGCAGTGCAACAGCAAGCAGAAGTGAACTTAAAGCACATTTAGAATTCATGCAAGGCACAGAGAAGGCCCAGGAGGGCTCCTACAAAGCTCAGTCGTGCCAGACACCCTCCAGGTCAACAGTCACTGGTTCTACTGTGAGCTCAGCCTTAGCTCTCACCCAGGAGGCACCAGAACCAGTTCACAATTTACCTCTTTCCCCTGCCTCCCCCCTGCACACACGGTCACACAACTGCTGCTTTATTCACCACAGCCTTTAGTGCAGCTGACTGGTTAATCTTCAACTCGCTGCCAACTTTCTGCCCCACAGAAGAAACCAGCCCTCCATCTGTCCCTAAGGAATCAGTGCAGCGAGGGGATCAATATTCCACATCTTGATGCAATTGTTAAACTGAACCTTTCCTAATCCACCATCTCAGAGTCAGGATAAACCTCAGGATTAAGCCTTCGGATATTGTGGCCCTTGTACTTAGAGGTTAAGGCCATGGTCCCCACTTTGGGCTTATCTAGGCTGAGCCACTAAACACACAAAGCCTCCCCAGCAGCTCTGTTACCATGAACAGCTGCCTGGGGGCTTACCCTCCTCATGCTGTTCATGTTGGCTGGCAGGGGCATCTTGCAAAGCTGTCCTGACCTTCCCACTCCCTCAGAGAGGTGCTTTCCAAGGAACTCAGTGCCTGCAGCCTCCCTGCAGAGAACAGCCACCTCTGCCCCCCAGTGCTGCTCCCCAGAGTCACTGCTGACCTCAAGGGAGCCATTACCCCTTGCATTCAGCCACATCAGTCAGAATCCCAAAGCAAGTGAGTGTCTGGGCACACGGGGAAAAAAAATCCTGCTCACATTATAAATATTTTGTTCCAAATGCCTTTTGAATTTTGATCAAATACCAGAAGTGTGAACACACTGAGATCTGCATTGCACACGTACATCCAATTCCAAACTGCCCATTCACCTGTCAGAGATGGGTAATGGGCTCTCACATGTTCCAGACT